GCCGCTTTCCTGTCAAATGTAATCATAAAAAAATTTAACAACAATTTAAAAATCTATTCAATAAGTTTGTATCTCTATTTCATAGAAATGTTTGAACTGTAAATCGATTGGTAAATACTAACCAATATTGTTTGGACTCAGCACTGGTCGCCGCCCGGAGTTTAGTGATCAAAACCCACATAATCTTTCCCAAGAAAAATATGTTTACCTGTTTTTACGTCAATAATTTTCGTGGAGATAACAATCGTTTAATAAGTGGGATATTATGGTCAATAAAAAATTTAAAGTTCAATACCAGAAGTACCAGAATTACTGGACATATAAAGATATAGTCAAAGAAGTCCTTGAGTTGCCATGGGCACCTGTCATCACACATACACCAATTAGACACCACACGTATGGATCACAATTATTACAATCATAAGTTATACAATACAATCCAAAACCCATTAATATTGTATTTTGTCAACACTTAAGATCTTTAGGCTATACTTCATATTTGAATCAACATATCTATCATTTGTATTCTCAATGGAAAATAACTTAACAAAAGCCCTTATAAACGATTGAACGGTTTCTTGACATTAAAAATGATTGTTTGGCTTATGATTGTGTGATTAATAATTCATACCCCGATGGCCCGTATGGACGGTCTGGGCTGCCACTGAGATATGCTTTGACTGGAGCCCAAACCATAACGACCAGTGCCGGCAAACCTGTTCAGTAAATTCATTGCATGAATTCAATATTTTTAAATTTTATTAAAATTTTATTATATAGTATTGAATAAATTCTTGATTTCTATTGTGATTTCAATAACAAAAACTAAATTAAATGGAAAATAATAGGAATTGTAAATATAGTTGTGATTGAAGTGATGATCAATTCTGTATTGAATGGAAAGGTATGTTAAAATGTTAGGTTGTATTACCCCAGCCTATGAAGGCATAGATGTGGACTTTCACCAGTTCTATAGAAAATGTTTTGACGACCAAAATGTATAAATAGAGTCCTTCGACAAACATCCAGAAGAAATTGGTTCCCATTAAGTATGTGAGGAGAATAACCAGAAAACATGACGCCTATCGCAACACATGTCAAACAATGTATAATATTTTGGATTAATGTTTCTTATTTGTCAGCGAATCATAAATTCATACGTTATTTGAAATGTTTGACGAGGGATATGAATGAAGTCGATCGGTTATAATCCAACAAATGGCAATGAGCCTAATGTTTGTACAATCAATTTCATTCAACCATAATTGTTATTCTTGAGACAAACAGAACAAAGACATCAATCTTTTAATAAGAAATACATACATATATGTGATCATCAGATTTGTATGAATGGTATTACGAACACAACGCAAATCTCTATGTATTAAATATGAAATTATAATTTATCATTAGAGGAGTACTGTTGAACCGCATCAGCAAATTCTTGATTGTCATAAATTTAATTTAAATGTTTACTTAAAATACAAAAATATCCACAACGCTATTGACAGAGCAATCAGTGATAAGCCGTATCCGATGTAGTAAATCGTTGCCGTCTCTCTCACATCCCATAGCGTCTGTTAGAGAATATTCTGGTGTTATTCTCGCATCGGTTTATCAGTTAAGTCAATATTGCAAAACAAAACATGTTTTTTGTTGTTGTAATTAATACAAACCGATGGTATCTCAAACTCGTCGGTCAATGGTGTGCATCGGTTATAGTCGGCTCTCTCGGCCCACGAGCCGTTCAAATGACATAAACGCGAGGCATTCTCTGTAGTAATATATTTATAGGTTTACAACATTATTGTACAATAAGTTAGGGTTAGATATATTGTATGATATGTTGTCACTTACGAGTCGTGTCGTAATGAACTTTATTAAATGTGGAAAAACACGGAATCACTGATAATTGTCCGACAGCTGTGGGTAACCAACACGAGACCCCATCCCATGTTGTGTTACACTGACTACCATTAATATAAGTTGGTATTGATATGAAAGTTTCTGTCAACAAATATTTAAAAATGTAAATTTGTGTTAAGTTATGATAATTTTTGTAATTATAAATCTACTTTTAGTGTATAATGTGTTTATTATTTTTAATTAATATTTTTTTTTGTTTTCTTATATATATTGTAATTTCTGTGGGGATAAGAAAGTAATGGATATTATAATTAGGTTTTATATAAGTTGTGCCACAAGTAGTGGTCTTTTGGGTGAATAACACTCTAATAAATGAGACGAAAGTATAAATAATAGTCTCATAAATAATAAATCACTTCAAATGCAAATGAATTCAATGAATTATTGCATTCAATTGTATTAATATTATTGTTATTTGTTAGGAAATAATACTCAAAAACTTGAGATTTGAATTTCAATTTCAATAATTGAATTTTCTATAAATATTTTCTTAAAATATTATATTTTCACTAAAAGAGTCAATATTTAGACGATTGAATGGACACAAAAAATGCCAAACCGTATTCAGTACTTTAAATAACTATATTCTTAACCAAAAATATAACGATTTATTGTATAAATATTTAATCAAAATATAGTCGTGAAATAGTTTGTGAAAAATTTAATCTATTATATAAGCCAACAGTGATATTAGTGTACGTGTATTGCTTAAGGCTCTGCCTGTAGGCAGCGATCAGAGCCAAAGAGAGTGTGAGAGAGAGAACGCACTACACGTACACTAATATCACTGTTGGCTTATATAATAGATTATCATTATTCGCATAA